TCTAGTCAAAAATACTGAGGGAAGCTTATATGTTGCTTTCACTCTAATTGAAATGTTCTTTAAATTTGCCAGAACACAACCATAAAATGTTCTGATTATTGTAACTCTCTGCGGTGCTTTGTGCTTAATAGGGCAAGTGGTAGAAAGGATGATCTCTTATAATAAACATAAATAATAGTTCCACTTAGAAATGCTTGATCCCCACTTTTTGTTTGAGAAGGAGACACATGGATATCTGTAGGTCATAAACTGTTTGTGAAGCTTCGGTTATAACTTTGCTTGAAAAGGATGCAGACTTAAGTTGAATTAAGTTTGCACTACCAGAATTCATCATCTGATTGAACAGTAATGTAGTTTAAAAGCTTATACTTTGGATACTAAAAGTGTAATCTGGAAGTCATCTGAAGCATAATTCATACTAGGGGTGTGCAAAGAACCTCAGGTATTTTTTGGGTTCAGGAATATTGAACCCCAAAAATTTCAGTATTTCCCAATATTCCCGAATCCCAATATCAGCATGGTAATGGGATTTTGGAAATATTTGGGATTCCCACATTTTTTGGGGGTCCAATGGACCCAAGGAAAAAAAAAACAAGAGGATCAGCTGGGTTGACAGGAGCTGAGAGCTCTGCACTGCCCTGGCCAATCCTGGGCTGGCTCCTCTTTGCAGGTCATTTGAAACTGAGCTGCCAAGAGAAGCCAGCCCCAGCCAAAGTTTCTCTCTGCAGGCTCTGCTGGGGCTTTGCTGGACAGCCTCATTCATTCATTCATTCATTCATTCATTCATTCATTCATTCATTCATTCATTTGATTTCTGTCCCGCCCTCCCCACAAGCAGACTTAGGGCAGGTCACAACATTCAAATTACTAACAAAGATCAATCAACTTTAAAAACTTTAGACCAGACTGCCCAAGAGAGCCAGCCAAGAAGCTGATCCTGCAGGAAGAGTTCTCCCCACAGTCTCAGCTGGGGCTCTGCTGGCGACCCGTTTAGACTGGACTGCCCAACAGAGCCCACCCAGCTGATCCTGTGGGGAGAGTTCTCCACGCAGGCTCTGCTGGGCAGCCCAGTTTATACTGGGCTGTCCAACAGAGCCTCCCCCATCCTCCAATGGAGGGGGGGAAAGGCATTTAAAGGGATTGCGGTCCCTTTAAATGCCTTTTGCAAGCCACAAGTGCCCTTTATCTGTAGCTATCTGGCGGATGCCAAAAACCCCGAATATTTTCAGGATTTTGGGGGGCAGCTATTTTCTGATAGCCAGATCAGTGGCCCACTTGATAACTGGAAGAGAAAATACCCGATAAGATATTTATCAGGTATATTTTCAGCTTGGTTTATACCGAGCGCACACACCCCTAATTCATACATTATGATTTTCTATAGAGAGAGTTTAATTTCCGTGTAGGAAAAAGAATATACATTGTAATTAATGAGTAGAGCTTCCCTCTCAACTAGCATATGGAGCGTGCAACACCTGCTTGAACTGTACAGTTTCAAAATACTTCATTTTACAGCATTCACACCTTTCCCAACCCTACACTAAAATTAATATTTCCTTAGGGAGTTGGAGTTATAAATTGGGCTTGAACATCCAAATCTGCTATCCAGTATTTAAAATGATTTCTTTCCCCAAACTATTATTAGCTTTATGGATTATGAATATGATAAGAACTATTCAGTCAATCAGCAAGTGAATTACAAAGTGTAATAAAAAGCATTTGAATCTAACAATAAAGGTTTCTCATAAAACAGAGTAATGCAGTGGGGCCAGGTAGATTGAGAAACTATTCAATCAATCAGCAAGCGTACAAATATAATAAAACAGTTCTGCCTAGCAGCAACGATCCGTAATAAAACAAAATAATTTAGTGGGACTGGGGGTGAAGAATTGGAAAAACAGAACAAGCAGACAAAAGCCGTCTATGGGAACGAAACTATCAGGGTAGGTAATATTTGTGTGTGCACTAAGGGCTGTCAAGTCTCTTCTGACTTATGGCGACCCTGTGAATTAATGATCTCCAGAAAGTCCCGTTGCTAACAGCCTTGTTCAGGTCTTACAAACTGAGGGCCGTGGCTTCCTTGGTGGAATCAGTCCTCCCCATGTTGGATCTTCCTGTTTTCCTGCTGCCTTCAACTTTTCCTAGCATGATTGTCTTTTCCAGTGACTCTCATCTTCTCATAATGCGACCAAAGTACGATATCCTCAGTTTGGTCATTTAAACTTCTAGGGAGAGTTCAGGCTTAATTTAATCTAGAACACACTTATGATAGATACCATTCATCCCATATATAAAACAGTTCAATCTGAAGCAAGATTCTTAACAAAACAAAACAAAAAGTTGAGAAAGTCCTGACCTTCACTGAGGAGTGATGGACAGTATTGGTGGATGGGGAACAAAACATGTTCTGTATCTTACTGATAATATGATTATAGCCTGTTAAGACTCAGGATGTCTTGGGTCATGCCTCCACTTGGGGTTGCTGGGAGAAAGGAAGTAGATCACCCATCTATATAGGGCAGGAGTCATAGAATCATAGAGGTGGAAGGGACCTCCAGGGTCATCTAGTCCAACCCTCTGCACAATGCAGGAAATTCACAAATCGCTCCTCCCACACCCCTGGTGACCGCTGTTCCACCCCCAGGAGATGACAAAAAACAACAACAACACAACCCTTCAGGGTCTCCAGCCAAACTGGCCTGGAGAAAAGTCACAAGTCTCTTGCTGCTGGGTGTCTAGCAGGTGGAGAAAATGGTATGGGGAGTCAAGATGTATAGATGCGGGTAGAGTGATGTGAAAGCCAGTTGGACAAACGCAGTGATTAGAAGAAAAGAAGAAAAGATTGGATTTATACCCCGCCCTTCACTACCCAAAGGTGTCTCAGAGCAGCTTACAAACTCCTTTCCCTCCCCCTCCCCACAACAGACACCCTGTGAGGTAGGTGGGGCTGAGAGAGCTCTTGACAGAAACTGCTCTTTTTCAAGAACAGCTCTTATCAGAGCTACGGCTTGTCCAAGGTCATCCAGCCAGGTGCAAGTGGAGGAGTGGGGAATCAAACCCGGTTCTCCCAGATTAGAGTCCGTGCACTTAACCACTACACCAATGTGGTTAAAATGTGGAATTCAGTACCAGAGGATGCTGTGATGACCATAGGCACAGATGGTTTTAAAAGGGGATTAGACAGATTCACGGAGGGCTATCAGTGGCTACTAGCCGTAGTGTCTAGCAGGAACCACCATGTTCAGAGGCAATCAGGCTCTGAATACCAGTGCCACGAGGGGCAACATCAGGCCCTCTATGCCCTGTGGTTGGACCTCCAGAGGAATTGGTTGGCCACTGTGTGAGACAGGATGCTAGACTAAACGGACCATTGGTCTGATCCAGCAGGGGGGTTATTATGTGGTTTCTAAGTTAGATCAGTGCAGGTTTGCCAGTTCCAGAATTTCACAACGTTTGGGAAACCAGTTCAACCTGAGCAACTTGTTTGTTAAATATCGGAATTGCAAATTGGTATCTCTAGTTAGGATCTAGATGCCCAACGTGTATATGTGTGTTTCTGTATTTAAGGGCTGTAATTGATGACACTGTTTATTATATGCATTTCTATTTTTTACTGCATTGTTGTACAGCTTCTGTAATCCATTTTTTTAAAATGTCTTCGTTACATACTGTTTTTATTTTTTCCTAACTTTGTATTCCAGTCTTATTACAGTGTTTATTATATGTCTTCTACTGTGCCTGTTGCATTGCTAAATTTTGTAATCCACCTTGCATTTCTCTGAAAAAGGCAGATTATAAATAAATATTTTAGAAAGCAGTAAGAATGCAGAAAGGGAAAAGGGTGGAAATTTTAAAGGTGAGGATTTTAAGAAAGTTGTTTGGTCGTGTCATAGCACAAGGAATTCCATGCACTGCTTAAAGAATTAGGATCTCCATAGTTATCTGATGTGATCAAATGTCTGCTAGGAGTTAGTGTGAGATAATGATCAGTTTATACATGCGCTCTAGAAAAGGATATAGTGTTTCCAGTAGTAGGAGGCGTAGGGGTCTGAATGGTTTCTGTTGTGTGGGAAGACTGTGGTTGACAAATAGAGCAGCAGCCGCTGGAAAGTCTAATTCCGAATCATTTGAGGAGGCCCTGCTTGTGTGTTTCTGAAGGAATGGCATTCAGAGGTGGAAAGAAAGAACCCTTCTCATGGTGATGAACCGTCTGCAGCAGACGAAGCTGTCCAAAAAAGGGGGGGGGGGATCATTTTGGCGGATGGCTTGTGCTCTTAAGCTGAGGTTCTCAGGGTGTGTTTCTTGATTTGTTTTCCAGTTACAAAGTTGTTAATTTGGTGGAACAGCTGCCGTACAACTTTAAAAAGTTTTAAATAACTGCTAGGAACTGAAATTTTCCTAAAGCCTCTCATGTTGCCAGGAACGCTGCACCCAGCACCCGTCTTCTTTTTTTGTATGGTCATTGCAGTATGCGGAGGCTGGTTCTGCAAACCCAGATGTCTGTTCTTGGAGTTATGTAACACTACTGTAAAATGTCATTGTTAAGCAGAAAGATGGTATCTGGAGACTTACAGAGAGTTCTCTGGGTAAAATGCCAGTCATTGTGGCACTGTGATCCCCCCCCCTCCCGATCGGTGCCTTGACTATCTCTGGGACAGAGCACATGAATGATAGGTTGGTGGACTTTGGGCTGGATAAAGATTAAGATCTCCTGCTGCTTTGTAATTATCAGAATCTGGACAGTCACTTATTTGGATGAAATGATGCATATAGTTTGCACATGAAAAGTAAAACCCACGTAACGTGATAGCAAGATTTTTTATTTTTTTGTAAATCTCTCAGCAGGATGTCATAGGGTATATTTATAAACTCCAGCCAAGCAGTTGCTCTCCAGTGGAATTCCTCTGGAACTGAGATAATAATTTGCACAGTCAAATTGCCTCCTTACAAAAACCCAGGGAATTATGAGCACATAATCCTCTGTTAATGTCAATCTGCAGGCAGCAAGGAAGCGTAAGATTGCCATTCGAAAAGCCCAGGGGAGAAATGCAGAGGCCATCCGAGAGCTGAATGAGTATCTGGAACAGTGAGTGTTTTTAGAGAATATGGATTGTGTTTTGCGTGTTCTGATAAATCTTTTTTAATTAAAATGGAATTTACATTTGATTTACTCCTTCGCCTCCATGCTGTTCATTTTACAGAACTCTATCTTTCTTTCTTTTTTCTTCTCTTTTTTTTTTGTTGCTCCCTTTGTTTAGGTTTGTTGGTGACCAGGAAGCCTGGCATGAACTTGCAGAACTTTACATCAATGAACATGAGTAAGTTATTTGCAGAACTCACTTCACAAAGGGCCCCAAGGGGGTTTTCTTATGTGCAAAGAACAGACGCCCATGACTGCTTCTGAAGGCCTTTCTTCTGAAACACAATTTCATTTTGGTAGTAGGATGAGCATTGTGCGTCTAAAAAGTTTTCTGAGTAGGCTTCCAAATTCCTTATTTATTTAAGCACAGGAAGGCTTTTCTTTCTTTTTTAATTGCTGATTTGGCATAAATGTCACCTATTTGTCAGACTAATTTAATTTAAATGAGCGTAGTGCATGGGCTGCCAACATTACTTTTTGTTTTATGCACTACATTTAAGGAATCAGATGCACGTACTCTATTTACGTTTTAGGAGATTTCCTCCATAAGGAGACATGCTATAAAGATATGAGTTGAAAGTGTTCATTGGTGCCTTTATTTTTATTAGAAGAAAATCTGTGGCTTCAACATTAAGGGGGGGTTGGTTGCCTGGCTACAAGGCCCTGTGCAGTCAAATATGTTGAGTGTTGCAGGAACTTTCTTATTGAATATTTAATGTTTTTGTTAGCTTTTTATTGCTTTAGTGACAAGAGGAAATTCCAGTGTGAGTGGATTAGCTGACAGCCTTAGTTCTAGTTTTCTAATATCACCGCATTAATTTTAGCCCTCATTCTAAGGCAAATCATTGTGGGTTTTCCCCCTGCCTTTACTCTCTCCCCGCCACCAGAATTGTACCACATTGTTTCCTTCCTTCCTTTCTTCAGAAAATAGTAAAAGAATGAGACTCTTAGGAGAACATTCTCATTGGGTTATAAAAAAACTATTTTTTTCTCTCTCAGAGAATTATTAAAATTAGCTCTTGTTAAATCTCTGATAAATTTAATGCATGGATTTTTGATGCGTTTCTGGAGGGTAATAGCAAATAACCTAAAGAAGGTTTATAATGTGCTATTCAGCTTAATGTATTTAAACAGTAGACTCACAGAGAGAATTCCAGGTAATCTGTTGTAGCAAAAATCTTGGTGGTACCTTAAAGATTAACTACTTTATAGTGCCATAAGGTACTATAGATAATAATCAACTTTGTCAGATGCAGGAAATGTTATACTTGGCAATCATAAAAATAAATGAACAGAAAGAAAGAAAAAGAGGGATAACCAATTGAAGGCAGAAAGTATGGTGGTTGTTTTTAAAATCCAACTCATTTAAAATCAGATTTGAAGGTTTTTGCTTAAAACCAGTTACCTTAAATATCTGTATTTTTTTTAAAAAGAGACCCTGTTTCAAAATGGAATCTACCAATATAAATACTTAACGCTGTACCCACAATTAAAACACCATCCGCTTCAACCTATCAAACATGGTGCATTTAACGCTGACGAAGGGAGCTTTGACTCTCGAGAGCTTATACTCAGAAAAATCTTGTTGGTCCCTAGGATGCTACTGGACTCATATCTAGCTACATTTAGCCCTGCTTTCCCTTCCATCGGCAGTTCTGGAGGGTAGATATTAAAAAGTGCTATATGTTCACATGATAAAATTGAAACAGTTGAACATATGTTTATGGAATGTCCTATATTTAATGAGCTGAGGGCTAGTTTACTTCTTTACTTAGAAATAACGAAATGCCCACTGAGGCATCTGACAGTATGAGGGCACAAGTGACATGATTTTGTTACTCTCTCCGTGGCAAAGTTTATGGGGGCAGTAATTAAACAACAGAAGAATAGCACTACGTAAGGCATTATCTGATTTTATAATTTTATTTTCTGCTCAAGGTTATCGCTCTATGAGCTGTATTAGATAGATAGATAGCCCTGCTTTCCTGTTTAAAAGAGAAATCTGAGAGGCCAAATTTACCTTCCTTTGGGGTTGAAGCATTACCAGGGTGGCACAATAGGTCATGTACATTATGATCATAATGACAAATTATGAATACTCACGACTGTTACATGGAGGACTTGAACATTTCATTTTCTTTCTCATCGGAAAAAATGCAGTGTTTTGCTCAGCAATCACTAGCCCTTGTCTGTGGCAGGTTTTGGGCACTAGGGGTGTGCATTTGGCTTTGCTGAATTGAAAAAATACCGAAAAATACCTTATCAGTATTTTTCAGGTATTTCTTAAGCCGAATGAGATTCTGTAATCTAATTCAGCTGGCCGATAAGGTGCTCTTGAATAAAAGCTGATCTTATTCAGCTTTTGTTTGGCCTCAGTCAGGGAGGGAAGGTGTCAGGGAGGGAAGGTGTTAGGGAGGGAAGGTGTCAGACCAGCTCTGCTTCCCCAAGCGCCCTGCCTTCCCTCTGAAGGTCAGCTTCCCCTGCAGTCGTGGGGTGCCTGGGGAAGCCCAGGGAAGGCAGTTTAAACTGTTCAATGGACTGAAGCCTAAGTGCCCAATAGGGGAGTGCACCAAAAATCGGTATTTTTCAGGTTTGGGTAAACCAAGCCCGAATAGCACAGTACAAAAATGCCATTCTCTATGACAACAAAAATGAGCATATTTGCAAACTTCTTTGAACAAAATGCGCGAGCCTGAATTTGTTCTTTGAGTAGCATATTTGCTTTTTAAGGTATTGAGCTGACAGTCAGCTTTAATTTTGTGTCCCCCCCCCCCTTTGGAAAAATAAAATATTTAAAAGTAGTGTCTCCTGCTCTTTTGATCCTAGAAATGATGTACATTGCAAACCCTTTTTGCTGGTGAATTGTTACCTGTTTGCTATATGAGCACGTCGAAGTGGTTTTAATAATCTCCCAGTGCCTCTGCAGGTTGGAACGGTGAATGTGTCCCATGCTGAGATTGTGACAGCTCATAGTAGGAATAGGAACAGTCAAGGCGACTAATGACCAGAAATAAAAATCATACAGCTCTGTTGTTAAAATTTCAGCTGTAAAACTGAGTACGTATAACACAACTAGTAATTATTTAGGTTTCAGGATTTAGCACTGCAGGTCTCTGTGGGATTAAATGGTACTCTGTTTTTTCAGAGACAGGGTTCTCACAGTTGATCAGTGCATCAGCCCAGCCCCCCTGCCACACTTCACACAGTTCTTCCTGCCATTGAATCAGTGCCTTTCCCCATTACTGCTGCTGTTTCTAGGAGAAGGGGAGACTGGTGAGAGACCAAGATGGATTTCCCAACTAGGTGTATCTTGTAATGCTGGGTACTAGAACATATTTGCAGGGAGTGCCAGTGGGCAGGAGGGAGGGCTGAACGTCCCCATCTTCTGATTTTCCCCTTCATCTGCATCACCATTCCAGTGTTTAGCTTGTGTTTTCCTGACTCAGGTTCCAAAACCAGAAGTAGACCCAGCAACGGGGGACATTGCTTGGGGGGTTGGGGGTTTGTATTTTCATGGGACATTAAGCTTCTCTTACTTACTGATTGCTCACATGTTCAGTGGGGCCTTAGTCTGAAGGCTGGTGTTTGCTGACATTAAGTTGTCTTTAGCTAGGATCATACTTGGATCATTGAGGTTCCAGAAGGACGGAATGTCCATCGTTTAGAGCTTTGGAAGGGTGTTCCTTTGCTTGTTTTTGCACAGTACTGAATACTGTCATCTTTTTTCAGAACAGGTGAAATTTTCTATTAGTAAAGTTGATGGCGTCTGTTCTGTTTGTTGGTTCTTATGGCCTGCCTTTGAGCATGACAGTCATTGTGCAATTCAGCATCACTGTCTTGTCTCAGAAACCATTGGTTGAAAGGGAATCTCAATACACAGCAATACCTTGGCAAAAATAAGTTTGGAGCCCATGTGCTTATTTTATTTATGTATTTAAAACATCCTTATGCCACCTCCCCCCCCCCAGTAGGGGTTCACAAGGTGGTGAACATTAAAACGTTTAAACAATGAAAAAGACAGTTAAAATTAGAAAATTCAATTAAAAAACCACATAAATACACAGCACTAGAAGGAGGGCCAATATTTGGAGTATGCCAGACAAAACGAAAAGGTCTTCACCTGCCGATGAAAGACACTGATAGAGGTAGACAGATGAATCTCCCTGGAGAGGGAGTTCCAAAATTTTGAAGATTTTTCAGGATGAACATAGAATTGTCATGCACATCTCTGCCTTCCAGATTATCCAAAACCAAAATTTGGAGGCAAAGAACTGTACTTTAGCAACAGATGCTATGGTGGACTTTCTTGGCTACGTTTACCTGTTTCAAGTGAGAGTGTGTTCTGTTTCCCTGGCATCTCATACAATACGATGCCCATTCACTATACTCCTAGACCCCCTTAATAATCCCAACAAAAAAGTCTGTTCGTAGTCTGAGAGAGTTCACACGAGCAGTTCTGCTGCTTTCTCTTCTTGCGATCCATCTTGAAGTCCCTGGAAATCATAATATTATTAAATCGGACGCATGTGCAAGTGACTGACAGCAGCATTGGAGTCATAGTAGCCCTTTCCCTGCTGCTATAATTACAGGAATCGCTGCTGGCTCCGTCTGGGCACCAAGCAGGTCCCAAATGGCCTTCTACACAGTTTCCACTATCAAGGGGGAAATTATGTCCTCCTTGGATGCGCGAATCGGACCTTAGACCTGGGGAAAACGAAGGGCAGATAATTTTCTCTAGTGCATTTGCCACTACTGCTATAACGTGCACAGTGGGACTCATGCACAGCAAGATGATGAAGCTCCAGAAGACTCCTGCAGCCTTGTGTAGGTCAAGTTTGGGAGTCCACTGAAAATGGAAAGCAGAAAATATGCGTTTCTGTGTTCTGTCTAGTCTCCGGACTAGCCTTTGCTGTAGAAGCTGTTGACAGTGGTTAGGTCCTACTGCAGCAGTAAAATGTAGATTCTCTTTTAAATGCTCCCTCCTGGTTTCGTCCTCCAGCTACGCAAAGGCAGCGTTTTGCTTGGAGGAGCTTATGATGACGAACCCGCACAACCACTTGTATTGCCAGCAGTTTGCAGAGGTGAGTATCTTGGAATGCTGCGAGTGAGCAGATGCTGTCCTGAGTGAGCAGCCAGTTGTCAGCGTGTACGCTGATCCTGTTCTTTAGTTGCCAGTTCCTCATTTGTATGCTTCAACTGCAGCATCTCCCCCTATTTACTGCTGCTTGTTGAAGTGAAAAAAATTCAAAGGGAACTATTTCTTTTGATGCTACATTTTATGGTTGTTATTTATTTAGTCCTTTCTATCTCGTCACTGTACAACATTCTCCCCTTGTCAAGGAAGCCTGAGGCGAACCCTGTGGTGGGCTCCCAGGGCAAGTGCGCCCAAGAATCAGACTGTTCTTTATAAAATAATATTAAGTCTATTCAAGAGTTAATAAGGAAAAGGTTATTGCCAACACATTACTCAGAAGTCACACAGAACAGAAAATAAGGTAGCTTTAACTACCTAACACTGTCCAGAGTTGCAGTAGGTGGCACAAACCTTAGTTTCAATAGGAAGGCCGCAAATCCACATTATCTGTGTCTCTAGCAATTGCCGGTCATAGTGTGGACCTATAGTCCATAAGAATCTCCGCTAGCTTCTCCCTAGGGCCACAACTGAATGATAGTTTCTGGCCCAGTGTGTCAGGTGATGATGATATCCAAATCAGAACATATTTCTTTCCAAGCAAACTCTCTGGAAAATCACATCACTTCTCCCCCCCCCCCCCAATCACAGATCACAGATTTCCATGAGAAACCAATTAATCATCTTCCATCTTTGGCCTTGAAGATGATAAGAAGCCTGCAGGCCAGAGACCCAGTTAGTAACACCTGCAGGCCAGCTCAGGCCAATCATTGTTCACATTAACCCTTGAGGGGATGGTGGGTAAGGTGCTTTGCTTCACACCCCTCCTCCTTTTTATCCTCTCTACAGCCCTGTGGGGTATGCATTGGGAGTGTGATGGGCCCAAAGTCACCCAGCAAGCTTCCATGGCAGAGTGGGGATTTCACCCTGGGTCTCCACGCTCCTAGTCTGATACCCTAACCACTACGCCACACTGGGTCTCCCCTTCCCCTTGAATTAATCAAATACCATCAGACTGCTTAGGTCCGTTATTCAACCTGGATTAGTCTGATGCTGTTTTCAGTTAGAATAAAAATATCAGGAGGTTGGTCTGTTTGTAGCAAAAAATAAACAGGTGTCTTGTGGCACCACAAAGACTACCTAAAATTTTATTCCAGCATATTTCATAGAGCCCATTTCATATGAGTAAGCAGATCCTCACTATTCAGTCATTTTATGTACCAGTATGAAAGAAACAAACAGCAAGGTCGAGGGACCATGAAATGCAGGAAGTACAGGATGAAATGTAATTATGTGAAATTCAGATCTAATCAAGAAAAATACAGGCACCATCCTAAAGTAGTGGGCACCTGAAATCGGTGGGGAGTCTTAGGTTTCGCTAAGCTATTTCTTACTTTTTGTAAGATAAGACAGTTTAACTGGTAATGGTCTCTATATTTTTCTTGATTAGCCTTAAGTTTTATGTAATTACTTTTCAACCAGTGCTTCCCGTGTTCCATGACCGTTTTGACCCTGCTTGTTGATGGTTTCTTTTACTTCTACCTCCTACAAAAATACCGCCTAATGGGAACCCACTCATGATATGTGAACTCGTGGGCTGTAGTCCACAAAAGCTGATTCTGGCCCATCTTAATCTTTCATGTGCCACAAGACTCGTTTATTCCAAACACACACCCGTGTACTGGTGGTGGTGGTGGTGGGAATTGCTGTCAAGTCACATCTGACTTAAGGGTGACCCCGCAGAGTAGTCGAGGCAAGAGACTAACAGAGGTGGTTTGCCATTGCTTGCTTCTCTGTAGCAGCCCCGGACTTCCTTGATGGCCTCCCATCCAAGTCCTAAGCAGGGCTGACCCTGAATAGCTTCCAAGGTCTGATTAGATTGGTCTAGCCTGGGCCGTCCAAGTCAGGGCCCTAAAATACTAAGGCAGCTTATAACTAATGCAGTCTGCTAGTGTTAATTGATCAGTGCTTATTAATTGGTCTTGCCTTATGCAACAGGTTAAGTATACCCAAGGAGGGCTTGAAAACCTCGAACTTTCGAGAAAATATTTTGCACAGGCGCTGAAGCTGAACAACAGGAACATGAGAGCGTTGTTTGGACTGTACATGGTGAGTCTGAAGGAATTTTTCCTCGCCTAAGAATAATTTAAGCTTCTGCATTTGGCCAGAGTAGAGAAGGTGAGAGGGGAATAAAATGAAAAGTCCTCTGTTGGTCTCTCTCTATAAATCCTTGGCAATAGCAAAATTATATAAGATTTGTGATCAACAAGTTTTCTCTTTGCTTCTTTTTAACCTGTCACTATAATTTATTGTGTCTTAAAGTCAAAATTACGAAAATGGAATGATGGTAATAGTTGGCAGCACTGTTGCCTCTTGTTTACGTGAGCTGTTATTAACATTTCTGGTATTTAGCACAACCATTTAGAGAACTTGGTTATTTGTATCTACTGTTTTAGTGGTTCTGTGGATTTCAGTAGGTTGGGGCCAGTGCTGATCTTTTAGAAGGACAGATCTGGGAAATCTGGGATGTTTGGTTTACCAGACTTTAGAAGACAGAATGTGTGTGCTCGTTTTTGTTTCTTTGTTCCTTCCTTTTTAAAATAAAATGAACACAAAGGCACTTTCCAAAGTATAAAAGAATTAATATTACCTATATAGAGTTCACTTCTGTGTCTGGATGTATGCCTCCCTGTAGTATATTAACATTCTTCTGTGTTGCAGTTTCAGTTTGCAAAGACCGGAGCAAAGCTGTTAATGATAGGACATTTTGGAGGTCACTAAATCATAGAGTTGCCATAAGATGGAAGTGGCTTGACGACCACATAATGCACACATGTTGCAATTCCTGCAAGCTCACTTTAAGCGACAAAGCATGGATATTGAAGGAATGACCACTTGTCATTAAAATCCAATATGACTTATTTATGTCAGCATAGAAGTATAAATGTGGATTGATAATCTTTTCAGATTGCAAGTTAAACTTCTTTTTCCCCTCTCAAGGTCACTTATGACTTTGCTTTATTATCTGTTAATAACATTTGGAGTCCTTTAAAACTGCTGGATCAAATGAACGCTCTCACAAAACTAGCAGTCTGAGTGTGCTGTACAAATGTTTGCATTTTCTGGAAACAAGATCGTTCCTGCTTTGTATGTGTTAACAGCATTTTTTTCTTCTTTTAAAGTTGTCTTAATATTTTATATTTTAAGGTTTGTAATTGAAATAATATTATTTTAATTGGGCAGTCAAGCCTTATTTTTAAATGTTTCCTCCAAAGTTCCTGAACTGTTACCAAGATGATGGCTGGAATCCAAAGAGCTGCTTTAGATGTACCTCAGGGCTCACAAGTGTATGTTTTGGGGTTGGGGTTTTTTTAGTTTTTTTTTTTAACAGCAAACTTCTGTGCTGTATTGCAAACTCCTTTAGAAAGTCCCTCGAGTTTTAGAATAGCACAGACCACTGTTGTTTCAGAAAAACAAGCCCAGAGAAACACAGAACTTGGTTATGTAGTTCATAGCTTGGTAGAGTTCACTGTCATGCCCCTCTGTAGCAAATGAGGGGCTCTCCTGTCCTGTAGAAGTAAAACATCCCTTTTACCCAGACCAGGGTTTTGAATTCTTATTCTTGAGAAGAAGAAGACGGTGAGGGAATTCCTATCTGCAAGATTTTCTAATTTTTTTTCCATCTAAGCAGTTGATTAAGCTTTTTAAAAAAATCGGTCATTCTTCTGTTGTAGTGCTTCTTCGCTTTCCATACATATGTTTGGTGTTTTGGCATACTTTTCAAGGTTATGTTGCTGATTGTTGGCCTGTTTCACTTCTAGGCTGCCAGCCACATCGCTTCCAATTCTAAGGCAAGTGCAAAAATGAAAAAGGATAATGTGAAGTATGCCAGTTGGGCAGCAAACCAAATAAATCGAGCTTACCAGGTGAGTATTAATTACCTGCACCGCATTTGGGGGGGTGCTTTAAAATGTGTATGTTTCTGGGTGAAGATGGCGGGGGCTTACATACACTTTTCAGGGCACTTTGGATCAGAGGACACATAGCATTTCCCCCCTCTTTTAAAACCTTTTTGAGTTGAGAAATGGTCTAATCTATTATAATTTCATAGTCCCATACTATTGAATGCTCTTGCATTTGTATGTATATAATGCAGCTGCTAACCACATGTAAAAGGAATGCAATTAACTTCTGGCATAGTTACCATGTTAAGCCGTGGAATCTTGTTTCCTGGAGAGATGGTAAACTTTGCTTATTTCACCCAAAGGGGCTGGACCATTCAACTATTCAGTCTTAAGCGGCAGTGCTGTTGAGATGCTTTCAATAAATCGTTTCATTTTGGTTTATGTGCTTTTTAACAATTTCACAATCTGTGAACTATTTTCTGCTATCTAAAACGGAGGGAAAGGCAGCATATGTATTGAATAAATAGCTTTTATCGGTGGCTTGATTTAAAATTTAACCCAAATGAAAGTCCTCTTAAATCTCGATTGTGAGAAATTAGTTGAGTCATGATAGCATATACTTTTCTGCCTTGCACTGCCATGTTCAGAGAACTGTAGTAACTTTAAAAAGTACCACCTTGGTTTTTATAACTGTATGGTCTGTATGCGATTGTGAAGTTCTGTTGGAGTTGGATCAAAATGATTGCAAATTGGCCCCACTCTTGGTTGATACTTACCAGAACAGATCACATTTTACACAACCAAAAATATATTTAAAACAAATGTCATAACTTCTTTGTGACTTCATATGTTTGTGATATATTGCATGCTTCAGCTGTATTTTAGCAGAAAAGTGACAAATACCATATCTAGCTGAAAACTGCAAAGGGAATTTAAAAATGCAGGATGTAATTACACAAATTAGAACTTGGCCAGGATCTCAAGTTAACACCCTACTCTGGCAAAAGGTACCATAAGAAACTTTACTGAATAAATATCAAACCTTGTTTGACATGTGAGCCCTGCATGGTTTGGCCTGCTCCTAAGTTTACATTTGAACTGCTGAAGAGCCTAAATGCTCCAGCAGATAAGGCTGACGAGTCAGTATATGGCTCCCCTCCAGTTGAGTGGACATATTGGCAAGAGTCTACTATGCTGCTGAAAGTTGTCGTCTTGTCAACCAGATGTGCCAAGGTGTGGGGGTGGACACTGGAAAATCTCCTTTGGGACCTGGCCCAAAGCTTTATTTTGGATTTCTTTCCCCGGTGTTGTGGTTTACTCTGTTGTTGTCCTTCTGTTTCAGATCATCTGTACAGTTTAGCTATGGGGTTGCATGGTTGGGGTACATTGGTGTTCTTCAGTTGCACAGTAGTAAATTTTCAAGGCAGGTGCTTTTGAAGGAAGTAAGACGTTCTTCCTTGGGCTCTAGATAAGAGCTTACATTCTTATATAAAAAATTACCCCATTTCTCTTTTACTAATTACTAGTCAAATAAAGTTTTATGGTCCTATTTTAACCCCAAAATATAGAAATGTTTGAAATTTGTAGGGGAAATGATAAAACGTTAACCTGTAATGGAAAGATAATTGGAACTTTCCCTAGCTAGCCAATGAACAAACTGTAGAAGTCATGTAAATTTAAATATATTTGCTTAGTTAGATTTGAGTCCAGTAGCACCTTAGTGATCAACACTTAGTGAGTCTAAAATAATACCTTGAAAATCCTGTTCTAATACCTTGAAAATCCTAAGGTGCTACTGGACTTGAACCTAGTTGTTCTACCACAGACCAACATAGCTACCCTATGAAAATATATTTGCTTAGATGGCATTTGAGTATTTTGCGAGCCATTGGAAGGGACTGTAAATCTGTATAAGACACTGAAGCCATCCCTTTCCATTAATGACTTTCCTGTATTGTTATATGCTTCCTGTTTGCAGCTCTGCCATACAATAAATAAATAAATAGTGACTTTCCTGGTCACTTCTTGTGTGGATTCTGTCATCTCTGCAAAGACTGTTTGCACATTTCCTATCTTTACAGTCATAAGTTCTATAAATTTAAGTTAATTTCCGAGTCCCACAATAGTAACTTTGCAGACACAGGTTGGCTGCAGAAATTTCCGGAGATCATCCAAGTACAAGGTACTCTCCACACCACCACAAGGTACTCTCCAAGAATTTTAACTATTACCTAGTCACATGACTAGGGAAGGAAGACTAAATTCCCCTCAATAGGGGAATAGGCACAAACTGATTCATGACCCAGAATTCGGCATGAACTTGGCCCAGTTCAGAGCCCCTGAATTGATGTTCGAGGAAAGTGTCTTCCCTAAACATTTATTGGACATTTGTCCAGTTCAGTTCATCTGTTCAGGCTATTTAAATGTAACAGCTGAACAGTGCAGGTCTGCAGCTGACCTGTTAGGTTTAAATGGCTGTGAGCCATTTCACCATTCCGTTTCACTTCCCCCCCACTTCGAAGTACGGGGAAGTGAAATGGACTGGTGACTGGTCAGTTTTGCTTCCAAGCAGGGGAAGCAAAATGAACTGGTGAAATGCTGCCAGCCATTTAAACCTAACAGCAGGGTGGGTGCACCTGTTAGCTGTTAGATTTAAATGGCTGTGAGCCATTAAACCCGTCAGTTTCGCTTCCTCCTTCTTTAAAGTGGGGGAAGCGAAACGGATGGGTTAAATGGCTGCCTCACTGCTTAACATTTCCCGGGCGATCCCCCTTTCTCCCGGCCACGGTGAACTGCATTTTGATTCAGAGCATTTTTGGCTTAATTGGGTTTGGGGTTCGGTTTGAGGGTTCGTGCCCATCCCTACCCCTCAGTTCTCTTTGCCATTATAAAGAGATGAGTATTTGTAGATTTTGTCATCTAACACATATCAAAATAAATACAAAGGGTGTTACCATTATTTCTTAAGGAAAACAAACATTGCTATGACACCAAAAATGTTTTTTCTTTTTCTTTTTTTAAATATATATTTTATTGGATTTTTTACACATACAGATACCCACCACCCACAACATCACCCATTACCATTTATAATTGCTTTTAAACAGCAGCATAGTCATTTTTCCTCCATTTAACACCATTTCTAAATACTTCTAAGTAATCACATAATCATTTAACAAGTACATTTTCCTCCTTGTTCAAGCATACAGCATCTAATAATTGTATTATTATTCTTTTCTCACTCTTTTTTTTCTTGAAACAGTCCACTATTCACATTTACTTTACCATTTATTTAAGGGTAAAATGAATTATTATAAATTAAAGAGGATAATATGATTATTTAATACTATCCAATAACTACAAAACGGTTTGGTTTTATAAAAATGAGTATTAATTGAATCATCCTATCTGATATTAAGAGATTATGTAAGCAAGGTTCTCTTCTTTTCTGGGATGTTGTCTCTGGTAGTGGTGTAAGAAACTATGCTTGCTGAGACAATCTTAAAAATGTTTTTTCAAGGTGTGCTGATTGTTGTGCAAAAATGGCAGAGTCTGTCATTCTTTGTGTATGGGTGCTATAATGTTGACGCATGGCCAGTATATAAGTAGTTCCCACTGAAGGCTATAAATGGCAGAATTTCTCATTTGAAAGCTGCCCTGTAGGTGAAAAGCTTTGACATGCCACTGGTACTGTTGAACAGACTGAAGACTTCAAGAAAGTAAAGTCTCTAAAATGTTTCTAAAACTACTGTACCTTCAGGGGCTTTGCTTCAGGTACCCCTGTCAACTGAGGCCAGATGAGTGGCAACCTAAGAAAGAACCTTCTCAATCATGCCACTAAAACATGGAATTCTCTCTCCAGAGAGATTCCTCCACCCCACCCTCATTTGATCCTCTTTCTTGTTGTTGTTTTAATTGTTATATCTATATCTATATATCCTTAAGTTGGTTCTAATGTTTTTGATTGATTGCTATCTTAGGGGCCCTACGTTGGTGGAAAGGCAGTAATAAAATGTTTTAAATAGCAGTACTAAAATTAAAAAATGTGTGTTAAAATACAGACACAGGTCACTATAAATGAAGACTTTTCTTCTCCCTTAATTTGTGTTCTTTAACATCTGAAACAAAATACATTTCTCTGCCTCTCCAGTTAATTAGTTTAGCATGTCTCACAATAGAAACACTTTAAGTGGAAGTTTAATTTTCAGTTAAAAATTAAGCTTTAACACTTTTCTCTGTGCCTTTTTTCAGATAAATAGTTTTTGGATATACTGCTATATTCTTTCGGTTAGGGATCGATATGTTGTTTACGTTTAGTAAGGTGATTCTGTTAGAAACCATTTGGGACAGCAAAATAAATCACATTTTCAAAGAGAAGGGGAGGTATCAATTATCAGCTAAATTGATACATAATGCTATTTAGCAAAATAATTACTTTTTAACTAAAATTGGAATGATTAAAACATCTAGCTGGTCTTTTAATTTTAGTTGGTCTAACTTTCAGAATAGGTTAATATAATTAAAGAGAAATTCTGCATGTTATCAAGGAACTTTCCTCATATTTAATGCCTTTGGTCCACTTTGCTCTAAGTGAATAAGCACAATACTATTTATTTTGGACTCCATTTTTTACTGCTATGCAGCAATGACTTTTGACAGTCTTCTCTGATGTGTGTCTGTATTTTTGAAAGATGTTCTGAAAGCCAACATGCACTTTTAAAGTTTGGGATTTTTCTGTAATCTGTTTCTTGTCAAGAAGTTAGACCTCTGTAAGTCTTTGGTTAGGGCTAATTTTGTTCGTTTTTGTTGGCTTTTGTTCATTTTTGGGGTAGTTTTTGTGTTTGCAAAGCTTATTTGGATTTTTTTTTTAAAATGCTCAAGTTTGAGTGTAGCCCAAGGGGGTCAAAGGCAGGTTAACAGTTCCTGCATCGTGTTTCAGCTGGGATATTACCTGTCTGATCACCAAATTTTGTCAACAGGTCACATTTGCTGAATTGAGCTAATTACGAGGAAAAGGGGACACATCGTAAATCCAGGGAGCAAAGTATGCAGGACAGCAGCAATACTTGAAGAAAAAAGCATTAAGCTGAAAATTTATTGAGTGCTCAGATGTAAATGTTTCATTGAGGAACAGGCTGTTTTTACTTAATGAAACATTTTAGCTTATGGTACTTTAAAGGAGAGAGCCATACTTAGGCCGTGTGTGTGTATTCAGCTCACAAAATACAGCAATGTATGGTGTGGCCAGAGTTGTCTGTTTAGAACTTCTGTTGCACAGGCCCATGTGACGTGAACGGAACTTGTCTGAACAGGTTAGCCCGATTCTTCTTTATAACCAAAAGAGAAGTTTGTGGTGGATGGTGCCCTAACTGATAAACCTGCTGTGCAAAATCGCATGAGTGGTAGAAATTGTGCTAGAGTCAAAAAGCTAAATCTAGGCACTAATGACTTGGAAGTTTTCCTGCAATCTAAGTCTCTACGAAAAATTAGGAGGCTAACATAATTTTGATTTATTTTTAAGCATTTCTTAACAATTTAGGTTAATAAGCTATCAGCGCATTCTTAAATTAGTTTAATTGTCATTTCCTTGGTCTTTACGCGATGCAGTAGTGAATAAATGTGGTTGGATCTGCAGAGCTGTTCTGCTTTTTCCTTTGATGCTACTGAAATGAATCCACAGGATCCAACCCATTATATGACATTTAGGGAGCAGTTCTAAGCTGGTCTACTCAGAAGTAAGTCCCATTTTATTCAGTTGGCCTTACTCCCAGGAAAGCAGGATTGCAGCTGCAACCACAAATACAGAGGAAAATGTTGACAACTTAATTCCCCCCCCCCCAAGGGACAGTGGGAGAAATTGGGCATAGTCTTCACAAAGCGCATGCTTCGCATATATTGCTTGACTTCCTGCCCTCATGTGGTCAGAATCTGCTATTCCACTTAAATGGCAACCATAGTTCATGTTGCTTCCAAACTAGATTTGTGTGGTTTGTGCTTGTCCTGCAAGCCAGCATTTCGAACCACAGTTAGTTTGTGGCTTGTAATTCTGGGGTCTGGAGGAATAGTGCAAACCATAGAAAGCAGGTTGGATGGGAGTCAAACTGTGGTTTGCCCTTAAGTGGAAGTATTAATTGACATGTTCCCTGTCTGCTGAAAATTAGAAAATTGCAACGAGTTTATATTATAATAACAATACTTTTTATATATAGCTTTTTTTTAAATGTTCAGGGCGTTTTAATAACCCCTACAAGAGTTGTATAACAGAGTAATGATGCCGACAGTATTATTTCCTATTGTGGACACTTAGCGGTGGTTCAGACACAATGTCTTGCCTAAGGCCAACAAGTGAGAGTCTGACAGAGGGCAAGTTTGAATTAGGTTTAGCTTGGTTCACAGCTAAGTATGTAAGCTACACCAGCTCTCACACCTTAAAGAATGAACGTTTTTGTTGACTGTTTGGCAACACCTGGTCAAATCCTGCAGAACATCTTGCAGAAGGAGTTGATGGACTAGATCTCCACTGTCTTCCCTCCAGCATCCTGCAGCTTGTTCTGAAAATTTTCCATGGTATGGCAAGCTGTACATAAAGGCTGTGAAACCTGTTGAGAAGGTTTTAGAGGGAGTACTAGCAAACTTATGTTGGTGGTGCTACAGTTATATGCTATCTTAGGGCAGGGGCCATGGTACAGTTGTACAGCAGAAGGTCCCAGGTTCATTCCCTGGCATCTCTGGTTAAAAGGATTAGGTAGTGAGTGATGTGGAAGACGCATGCCAGATACCCTGGAGAGATTGAATAGACGGTATTGATCTTGCCCAATAGTCTGATGCAGTGTAACACAGCTTTATGTGTTTAGTCCTTTCTAGGAATTCAGAATGACCATGACTTTTTTTTAGTACTGTATGTAGAAACCAGTGATCTCTTGATTTCCTCTCAGCTTCTAAGCCTCTTGAAGTGACTTCACCTTTGATTTGTGATGATAGGTATATGTTGTGTGGGCTTTTGGTTTGTTGAGCTTTCCACTCAATGTCCACTTATTATCTGTGAACACACACTTTAGGTGTAGTCCCCCTCCCCCACCCCTCTGTGGCTGTCTGGGATTTAAGATAACACAAAAATGGGCATTAGCAAACTTGGTTAATTCTGCAGTCCGCTGTTGGTACATATGTTTTTCTTGTTGTGAAGTGTTGGAACAATTTTACATGCTCGGCTGTTGTGAAAATGTTGCAAAATGACTACTTATTGCATGTTCCGTGAAGTAGAATAACCTTTCTTTTTCCTTAGTTCGCTGGTCGCAGTAAGAAAGAAACCAAGTACTCTCTGAAAGCTGTGGAGGACATGTTGGAAGCACTGCAGATCACACAGTCGTAAACAGTCACAAATCCACCCAACAGTAGATACCCCCACCCGGCTTCATGTCAGAGTGTCAACACAATCTAAAAGTCACTTTAATTTTAAATTCCCAGTTGTGTTAACAGAAGTTCGATGTAAGTAAAAGTGACTCTCTTAAAGACCATGTTTTATAAAGATGTAAGATGCCTATTTATTGCTGCTACGATAAAAGCCACTGAAATGAATAAAAAGAGTAAATTTATTGAATGGCCAGCGTCTTCAGATCTTGTGTGAGTAGTTAAATGCTTTTAAGCCATAACCCGATGTGGAAATAACCCTACGTGATGATAATGTGGGATGATTTATCAAGCTTGAGTAGGAGTGTGACGGGAGCAGTACATAATGATGAGTAACATATGGTACAATAAAACCTTAACAGAACAATTGGTGGAACAATAATAAAAAGTATGCGTACTGAGTGGTGCTCTGAAATGTTGACCAAGCAAGGACTGCCTGTTTCCATTCATTGACATGCTTTAAGTAATGGTTGTATCTTGTGATTCTGTCGAGCTCACCTTTGGAGCCTGCTTCCAGGAGGAGCTTTTTTTCCAGTGGAAGGAGCCTTCTTCGGGAGGCAGAACATCTTCCTCCAAAGGAAGGCTCCATGCTGAGTGTCGGATATTGATAGCAGTGCATTTGCCATGCCCTTCTGCTGTTAGGCAGCAGTACAAAATTGACAAATAGTCTCCACGTGTTTGACATTATGGGAATAATAGTAAAGTCAGATTTAAGTGGTGCCATAGCGGTGGGAGAGCTGCCACTCCACTGGTTGCTTCCAAATGACTGTGACTGCATATACCCATGTAGATCAGGCTGTCCGAATGCTTTCTGCTGGATTAGGCTTTATACCTGATGTGAGCTCGATGTTACACATATGCAAGAGCATAGATTTTTTTTTCAGGGGGCTTTCAGAGAGAACACTAACATGAGCCCCCAAATAGTGCTGAACCTACATCCATAGTAGCTATGCAGTAAGCAATTTAGTTTTGCTTGCTCGCATTCAGTTCTGTTCAGAAATAGATTTTGTTTTTTTCCCCCCCTCATCTGAACAAAAGCTGTCCCCAAAGCATCTAGAAAAACAGGTTAGATGTAAAGGTGGTGTTTTAAGCCTTGAGATTGTACCCTGGCTGAACTAAGAGATTCCTACTGATTGTGGAATACTGCTACTTATTGATAGAGTTACTGGCTTTTCTAGACAGAAGCACTTTGGGGGAGAATAAGTAATACTTTATCTTCCAGCACTCATTAGAACTCTTTATGTTCATTTAGAATGGGACGTACGGCACTCCTTCAGTACTAGGAGTATTTCCAGGTCTAAATACAGCACGAAAGCAAACGGTCGGGAGTTCAGCATGAACACCGTCTTTGTGCTTTAGGTCCCAGGCTCCTGCCAGCAATTGGATGCAGCTTGTTGTTTTCATTGGATTCGTGATATAGGCAGCCAGAAACTCACAGCATTTTTATTTTTTTTTGGGTCTGTGGTGTGGGCAAGGGGTAATTTCCCCCTAGGTGGGGAGGGAAGATGGGAGATGCTGAATGTCAGATTTCAGTAGGGTATTATTACAGATTTAAATGACATTGATTTAATTGGGTGGAGTAAGCTCCATTAATACGATGAGAAAAAAAGATTGTAGCGTCATAATTATATTTTCTGTCAAGAAATGTAATAAAGTTTAATTTATACTTTTTGTCTCCCCCCTTAAGGAGGTTTGACAGTATTAAGTCCAGCTTCAATGGAGCCAGTAGCCATCCTGACCATATGGTGATCCAAGAATCACAACAGTAGGAATAAATTATTCAGTAGGAGACAAATATAGGCTGGCTATTCAATATCCTTTTTGCAAAAACTAATAAAAGAATCTGAAATCTTTGGTTTTTTAAAAAATTACGGAACAAATCAGACCTCTGTAACCAACAAAGCCAAGAATAGCCCATCAATCACCTTGATAGAAGCAACCTCAAAAAATGCTAGGGACCCCCCCCCCCCCCGATATTTTATTGATGGAAAATCTCCACGTTTATTCTTGATGTGCAAGGATTGTCAAATACTTGGCAACTCACAATACATAGAAACATAGAGCTGGAAGGTACCTCGAGGGTCATCTAGTCCAACCAACGTATGATGCAGGAAATTCACAACTAAACTCCCCCCCCCCACTACCCCAGTGACCCCTGCTCTGTGCCCAGAGGAAGGCAAAAAACCTCCAGGATCCCTGGGCCAATCTGGCCTCATAGGTTGTTTGATCAAGTTGAAGAGTCACAAGTTGTGCAGGCCTTTAGTAAAGCTGTATTGCCATATACAGTTTCCCCCCCCCCCCCATCATTCTGAGACATACAGGATTGTACACCTCATGGAATCCAAAGAGATTGGGATTTTTACTAGTTTTCTATCACTTTTATTGACTTTTACAAAAAGAGCAAAATAGCTGAATCATAAACATTTTAAAAAATTACAAACATTGCCGCAGAAGTGACTAATCAGGTTATCAGTTTATTTCATTTTAAAACTAGGGTGTGAAGTTAAACAGACAGATGAGTTAGCTTTGAATGTTTTAATTTCTAAAATAATTTTTTTTTTAATTCTTCAAGGGTGATCGAATATAGGGCAGTGTCTGCAAACGTCCTGTGAGACTGTGCCATCTAGAGGGTGAACATGCAAGAATGTTGTCTAGACATTTGATCTTGGTTTGCATTTCTTGAAAGTACCACTTTAAAAGCTCTGAACTTTCAGCTGTTGATAGGAATCGGTTTCCTTAAATGGAAGGCAAAGGGGCCAGTGTGTAATGTAACTTCATCCTCTTCCACAAAGGTACAAATATGAAATAACATTCACATGTGTTTTCATTCCAATATGATATTTTCATGTTCTTCCACAACTGTCCTTTTCTGGAGTAAAACTATCACACTAGAGTTGCTTTGGGAAGGCTGGATCAGTTGCTTTTTTAGTTGCTGTGTGGCTACTGAGCCAAGGGAAAGGAGGATTTGGTGGTCTCAGTCCTCTGAGGGCTGCTGGGACGACGACACCCCCCCCCCCCGCAAGCAAACACATTGTAGTGATCTTTTTGTAAGTGGCCCTCATACTGCAACGGGCCAATAACTGTTTTGGAGCCAATCCAGAATATGGAGGAAAATTGTATTCCTTTGTGGGGTTTTTTTTCCTTCTTAAAATATAAAACATAAATATTGGCGTAAGCTTTCCAGAGCCTCTGGAATATAATCAGTTTTTTAAAGTCAGGAGGATTAATTGCATATAACCGTGTGCTGCGGGATAATGGAGTTAGCTTCAATAATGTAGTGTGTTGCTCTTGGACCTAGCAGTTCACTTGCTGAGTTGCAGGCTGCTATTGGGTTGCTGTTTTTTGTTTGTTTTTGCATTGCTATTTGGAAAAGGAGAAATGGTGATTCACGCACAAAGTATAAGTAGAGTTGTGTCATATAAAACCTCTTGCAGCTCCATTTGGTCTCCAAACATCTCACATTGATGATGGAGAATTGTTAGCAAAGGATCTTAAGTTGTGACGGCACTCATGTTTGCTGTGTATTGCATTTGCAGTGAGACTTTGGTTTCAGACACTTTACATGGGAGGGGTGAATAAAAGCCATAAATGTATTACTTGTATCCAAGACTGCCAAATGTAAGTAGAGATCATGTGATCTGTAACCGACAGCGAACAGCCACAGTTGGTTTGTGGTTTGTTTTTGTTTGTTCATTTGAAAAATGTATAGGAATCACCAAAGTTGAATGCTAATAGAAGTCAGAGGTTGCCACTACGACAGGACCTATAATTTGTGTGTGAAGATTGCCATGCAATAGCAGAAGATTGGTTGTCGACAACTGTTGTTGCCACTTTATTTTTAAAATTGGTCTACAACCAAATAGGACATTCTTTTAATATGGCTCAGCATCTGTCTTGAACCACCGGAAGAGCTGTCTGCAATCTGTATACAAAAAGCATAAGAACATAAGAACATAAGAGACGCCAATGTTGGATCAGGCCAAAGGCCCATCCAGTCCAACACTCTGTGTCACACAGTGGCCAGAAATACCAGTGCCATCAGGAGGTCCAGCAGTGGGGCCAGGACATTAGAAGCCCTCCCACTGTTGACCCCCCCAAGCACCAAGAAGACAGAGCATCACTTGCCCCAGAGCCCCTAGCTATACCTTGTGGCTAATAGCCACTGATGGACCTCTGCTCCATATGCTTATCTAATTAAAGCAAAGATTTACCAGTGGAATGAAGGATTATCTGCTAGACATATCAGATTTTTCAGAAGAGAGGTTCAGCACTTGGATGTTACAGCTCTAGCCAGGTTGATGCAACTCCTCCAGGAGCAGACTGTCAAAAGTTAGCAGTGAACCACTGTCCAAAAGTGAACTTCATCGATCAGGTCTTTACTTGAGTTCATTTTGTTAACTGAGCCTGGCAAGAGGCATTTCAAACAAGCTTTTTTTTTGGGGGGGGGGGTGTTTCTCCCCCCCCCTCCACTAATGGATATAGACACAATCTAGCTATATTGCTCCTCCTGGAAATTATTGCCGCTTTGGTCTGTGGGGAGCAAAAAGGGAAGTCACAAGATGATATATTAATGTAATGTTCTAAAGTGGATCTGTTTATTAATTTTGCTGCCTGATGACCGAATAAGTGGTGACCATGCAAATTGGAATGCATAAGAAGCACAATGGATACAATAAAGACTATGAAAAGCTATAAGGTATGATGGGGACCCAGTAAAAACTGGCAACCAAGGTCGAGTTAATTCATGCCACAGTATTCCCCATTACTGTGTATGGGTGTGAAAGTTGGACGGTGAAGAAAACTGACAGGAAGAAAGGAAATTCCTTTGAAATGTGCTATTGGAGGAGAGTTTTATAGATACCGTGGACTGCCAAAGAGACAAATAAGTCGGTTCTAGACTAAATCAAGTCTGAACTCTCCCTAGAAGCTAAAATTATTAAACGGAGGCTATTCACGTTATGAGAAGACAGGAATCACTGGAAAAGACAATCATGCTACGAAAAGTTGAAGGCAGCAGGAAAAGAGGAAGAGCCAACATGAGGTGGATTGACTCCATCAAGGAAGCCACAGGGCCCTCAGTGTGCAAGACCTGAGAATGGCTGTTAACAACAGGATGTTTTGGTGGACATTCATTCATACGGTCGCTATAAATCAGAAGTGACTTGATGGCATGTAACAC